TTGAGGTTCAGCTCTGAGATCAGAGCACAAACCAGTTCTTCCTCGCCTTTCATCATCACTGCGCTAGGGCGGGAGCGAGGTCCGGCTCTGCTGCCGCTGCCTTACAAGGAGGCGAGAGCAGGGGAAGGCGCTTTGGCTCCTTCTCCGGTCAGAGCCACTCCAGGTTTGCTCCCCTGGGCCTGGGGCAAGGCGCTCCTTCGGGCACACGATGGGGCACGGCGGTTGCAGGGACTGGCATGGCTGGGAGCCTTGCCTGGGCGAGGAGTGGCTGTAGTGGAAATGGCAATTACGGTTAATTTGTTGTTAATAAAAAACACCCTCTTCCAATTCCCTGGGCCAAGATGCGCTCTCCGTTGGAGGAGGGAGCCCAGTCCCGTCCTCAGCAAAACCTGCCCTGCAAAGCGATGAGGGCAGCAAGAAAACTCCCTCGGCAGTGCTGAGGAAGGCAGGGCTGGGGCACAATCCCTGCCTGCAGTTTGTATGCCCGCGGTCAGCTGGAAAGTGCTGTACCCCAGCCTGGCAGGGGCACACAGGGACCCAAAATGCGCCAGTCAACCATGTGGGACCCTGCTTTGCGGGAGATGTGGGACTAACAGTGTGTCCCGTGCCAGAGGAGAGGGCGATGCTCCGGAGAAGCCAGCCTGGTTCCTGAAGGGCTGATTTACCCACGTACAACCCCTGGGTCCATGGCTGCCTCAGCCTGGAGCAGGTCTCGGTGTTCTGGATCACACACTGGGCTGCTGCAGGAGCGGTGCAGAGGGAAAGTTGGCTGGCAGGACAACGCCGAAGAGCCCACGCCACCTTGCCCACACTAGGGCCATGCAGAACCTGCTCTGGGATGTATCTCCTCCTGCCAGCCTGCTCTTCCTTTCCCCTGTTGGTCACCTCCTGGCAAAAGGACCCCCAGGAGCCGCAGTGATGGGTAATGCAGAGGTCCCCGAGCCCTCTTGCAAACCTTAAAGCTCAACCCTGTGGCTTTGGGGTGCAGCTGAACTGGCGCAGCGGGGAAGGGAAGGAGCGAGGCATGGAGAAACACCTCCAAGCAGAGGGTTGAGTCATGGCCGCAGCGTGGCCTGGCACCCTGCGGTCACCTGCCAACAGGAGCGGGGCCCTGGGGGTTTCACGGCTGGAGGGGGGTGTGAAAAAGCAGCTCATGCACATTTCTCTCCTCTGGGGGTGACCCAGCTTGTGGGGATCCCCTGTGCTGCAGCCACCAGGTCCCACAAAGCTGGCCCTGGGACGCGGGGCTGTGGGGAAAAGAGGAGGTTGCAGTTTTAGGAGATCTCCTTGCCCGGGGCTTGACCCTGGGGTTGCTGCGGTCCACGGGGACAGGATGGAGCTGGGGAGGGGACGTGAATGCTGGTGGTGGAGTGCAGCCTGGGTGCTCTGGGGTGGGATGGATGATTTGGGGGCGCTTGGAGGGGCTGACACAGACCTTTCCTTGCCACAACACAAGATGGGAGCTCAGGTCCCCAGGGACGAGGCGTCCCCGATGAAGGATGCTCGCAGGGCTTGTGTCCCCCCTCCCAGTGGGGTGGTGGGAAGTGTCTCATCCCTGCCATGGGGGATAGGTCCAGCAGCCTGCCCCCATGTCCCCACTGCTTGGGGTGGGCCAGGCGCCGTGATAACGGGGTTGTGGCTGTCACCGCACCCTTAGGAAACATTTGGCTTCAGGCACCTGAACCCACGGGGAAGCGATAACTCCTCAGCTCGCTCGCCCTGTCTGGACCCACACCTGGTGCTATCGTGCCTTAGTCACACACCGAGAGTTTTTCCACTGCCGGGCCCCAGATAACCTCCTCCCACCCCACTGGCCGCAGTGTTTGCACTTGTCCTCCTCCGCTGGTGCCAGGCTGGGAGACACGCACACCTTGAGCCCTGGGCTGGAGACACGCACACCTCTGGCCTAGGGCCACCTTTGGCCATGGCTGGCAGCCAGGGCACAGGCAAAGGGCATGAGGAGCATCCTTCCCCCAGCACCCTGGAGGGGCAGGCATCTGGCTGGGAGGGGGCCAGCATTGCCTTTCTAAATGTGGGGGGACAGCCCTCCTCCAGGCTGCTGGGTGACCCAGGCTTGGCACCGTGTGCCCGCAAGATGGCAGGAGGTGGGTGATGGGGTTGCAGTGACAGGACAGCGCTGCTGTCTTTTGCTGTCCCCCTGTCAAAGCCCTGCGGCGCAGGAGCGCCGGGCTCTCCGCCATTGCTGGCTTTCCCCAACCCGCTGCATCCCCTGGGCTCTCCCTGTGCCCTGACAAAACAGGACCCCGCTGTGCTGGGGAGGTGACAGACCTGGGCACGTGTCCCCATGCAGGACTCTCGAGGATTGACCAGGGGTGCGCAGGCTGACAAAGGTCTCCAGCTGTGCCCCTTTGCTCTTTGAAGGCTGTGCAAGCTCTGGGATGCAGTGGCTGCTGCCCAGAAACAACATCTCTAGGTTCCTTTGAAGACAGTGCTAATTGCTCCACTGCTGATCAGGTTAGCAAAAGCACCCAGCTAATGTGTTTTGCTTGCAGGTCTGTACAGCTCCTGGTGGGATGCAGCCCTGCAGTGACACCCACGCTCACAGAGGTGTGGGGGAGGCGGGCTGTGAATAACACAACCCAACTGCCCACAATCTCCACCTTTCATGAGGTTAAAAAGCTGCTACACTGGGGAGAAGAGCTCAAAACGCGCTGCGGGCTTAGTTTATTGAAGAGGAGTGAGTTGATCACCCTGCACTGGGGCAGAGCATGGGCTGAGTCCTGCTGGTTAGGGCTGGAAGCTGAGCTTGAGCAGGTCAGGCCTAAAAGTTGGGGATATAATCAAAACCCAAGGGCACTGAATGGCCACCTGTCTCTGGGTTTTATTTTGGACTGGTGGTGTTTTCTATAAGTGCTGTTTAACAACACGAACAGACTGTGAACGACCCGCCAGTGAGGTGCAAAAAGAGCGGTCCTCTTTCTCTTATCTGACAAAGCTCTGGTGGCCCCGAGGAGCAGCAGTGCCAGGCTGGCAGGGCAGGCAGAGCAGGGCTGAGACTGCAGAAGCAGAGCTGGGAAAGCCCTGTCTCCTTCTGCAAACCCACCTTGAGGGACTGTGCACCCCACCTCCAGGTCAGCCGTGGAAAAACAGCAAGGAAAGGTGCTAGAAATGATTAGGAATGGCCATGTGCGCTGATGGGGGGAGGACTTGGGTGGATGTGGCAGAGCTGAGAGCAAATGAGCAGGATGGGAGAAAGCTCGGGGTCAGCTCTGTCCTCGTGGGACGGAGGGCCGAGATGCTAAAAGCCATCCCTGGCAGAGCGGGAGGGGGCAGAAAAGGGGTTAAACTATTACTGGGGGAGAACAGATGACACTCTGGGGGTGTCACTGGTTCCTGTTGGGGCACACTGGTGCTGGCTGGGCCCTGGTGTGGAGGTGACCTGCTTGTGGGAGGGGATTGCCAGTGGGATGGCAATGGTGGCCACTCCAGCACAGCCCGGCTGGCGTTGCAGGGCTGTGTGCCGGAGTCACCCTGGCACAGCGGTATTCAGCTCACCTCAGGGCTGCTGCACAGGAGAAGAGTTCCCCTCAGGGACACCCCCTCTCCTGGGCTATCCGAGGTGGCTGGCAGATCCCCGTGGATCTCTGTGCGCCTTGCTAAAACCTGCTTTGGACAAACCTCTGCCAGGGAGCCTTGCTCCTGCCTCGATACAGTGGGAAGGTGATTTCTCGAAGACCCTCCTGGCCCCGCACTGCTATTTACTCCCCCTTCCCCATTTCCCCCTCTCTTTCCTCCCACAGGCAAGAGGAAACGAGATCCTATAAATAAAACTTTCACTCCTGGCTGCCCCGCGGCTTCAGGTAAGCGCTCCGGCACTGGAACGCTTCAGGAGGGTTTTCTTGCCAAGCGTGTGAAGGCGAGGAGCCTTCTACACGCTCTGTAAAACGAAGCCGGGACGGGCAGCCCGAACGCGCCAGGCGGTGTAGCGCCCGCCTGGCAGGCGGCCACCTGGCACGGCTGGCTCACCGCTGGTGAGGCCGGCACGGCTGGCGGGGATGGCACGACAGCCACCGGTGAGCAAGGAGTCAGGAAGACTCCTTATGAGCCCTGCGGAGCACTGGGATCAGCCCCAAGACCCTCGGGAGAGCGGGGCACTCTGCTGGATGGGCTGTGGGGTGGCAGTGGCCTGCCCCTGCCCTGCCCCACAGCCCCCGGCCGAGGCAGAGCCCAGTGAGCTAGGGGAATGGGCACCCCCGGCTTGTCGCTTCAGGCAACCGGGAGACGAGGGTGGGAGCACCATGGAAGGCCCCGCAGCCCTCTGCTCCCGCACAAGGGGCGATCCCCGGCAGCGGGACGGGCTGAGGTGGGGGGGTTGGCCCCGGGCCGGGCTCGGGGACACCCATCGGTCCCGGGCAGAGCATGGCTGCGCT